AGAGAGAGAGAGAGAGAGAGATGCTACACGTCTGAGCTTGTTTTTAATGATACGTAATGTCCCGGGTATATTTTTGACTGTTCATTTATTATTTCTGACGCGAGTAACATGCGACATGTAATAAAATATTTCTGACGCGAGTAACATGCGACATGTAATAAAATAATACGCGAATATGCGAATGAGATAAAAAATTGCTGTTATCTAGAAATAGATGCGTCAGGCGAATGGAAATATCTCGCTGTATTATTAACTGATAAAACGAAGATGTGTATAATTTTCCCTCTCGTGCCAGTAAACCGCGATAGAACATATTTAACTAGAATATATTTAAAGTAATAATTAACTTATCGTACAAGACTAATTAAATACAAGAATAATTTTAAACGTTTGATTCCTGAATCATTTAAAAACTAAAAATATATGTATTTAAAATCTCGAAATTAAATATATATTATCGAAGTTAAATATATATTTGCTTTTTTACATGCTACTATTTTCATTTATTCTCTGTTTTATACGTATAAATAATAATTTTATTAATAAATATTTTAAATTTATTTCAGATATTGAAATTTCCCCTTTTAGGGAAAAAAATAACTTTTAATTATTTAAAACTTTTAAAACATTTAAAAACTTTCAACGTTTTTCAATACTTTTAAAAAGTTTCGATTTCAAAGGATATTTTTGAGAGAATTTGTATTTTCGTAGAATCAGTTTTGTAAAACCTTCGAACGATAGGTCCCAATTTGTATTATTACGGATTGTCTGATTTTGTATTTTTAGGTACTATCACGTATAGTCTTGTGACTGGTCCTGACGAGAGGATAAAATTTACAATCAACAATAGAACGGGTCTCATCAGGACGACCCAGTGGATCGACAGAGATGAACCCTCCAGAGAAAAGGAGTTTTACCTTACGGTACTCGCAACCGACAATGGAAGGCCGCAGTTGGATGCCGTATGCACATTTAAAGTCACTATTGAAGACATCAATGACAACGAGCCTGTATTCGACAAAGTGGTACGTTGCTAACTACCTAAGTTATTAACTCGTTACTAACTCCTTTACAATTTCGTATCTGCAAATACGAGTCTGGATGATACAAATACGCGCCTGCATTATGCGTACTCCGCAATAGATGTAATAGATTGGGTTGTGTTAGGAAAACAAGTACCAAGGCCAATATATATATATATATATATATACGTAACAAAGT